ATTATAGTGATAATTAGTGATCAGGATGAAGAGACGAGTTGAAATCCGTGACTGTCTGTCGTCCGTCCGTCTGTCGTCTGTCCGTCCGTCCGTGCAAGCTCTAACTGAGTAAAATTGAGATATCTTTATTAAACTTGGTAGACATATTTCTTGGTATCCGTGAGACGGTTGGTATTGCAGATGGGTAATTGGACCACTGCCACGCCTACAAAACGCCATTAATCAAAACAAATAAATTGCCATAACTTAACTACGCAATAACATCAAGACTGTTATTTGGTACACAGGATCATATTGGGAGGCATCTGCAGTAGAATTTTTTAAAGTGGGCGTGTTCCGCCCCTAAAGGTTTATTGTGCATACTCCTAAACCCTAATGCTATAATAACAAAATTCACTGGAAGCAAATGTTTTTAGCACCTCTATGACGGTGTGAAAATAGTCGGGTGGCAACTTCGCCCACTCCCCATATAACGGTACTGTTAAAAACTACTAAAGCGCGATAAACAAGCAATAAACACGCCAGAGACATTAAATTTTATCTCCGGGATGGTATGGGATGACTTTTTAGGAACCGCGTTCAAAATTACAGTGGGCGTGGCACAGCCCACTTTGGTGAAAACCCATATCTTGAGATCCGCTTAACCGATTTCAACCAAATTCGTGCATAACGTTCTTTTCATGTTTCTATGTCACAGTGCAAAAATGGGCGAAATCGGACTACAACCACGCCTACTTTCCATATAACACCATTTTAAATTCCATCTGATTATTTCACTTCCACTATGCAAATCAGGCAACAATGACTGTATCGGATAAAACTTTGCGTGAATAATGCGATAAAGTATGCCACCTTGTGGCCAAAAATTGTCTAAATCGAACCAAAACTGTTTAAGCCCCTAAGTACTAAATATGTGGACCCAGTGCCTATAGTTGACCTTCTACCGAAAATATCAGCCAATCCACAAAGAAATCTCAAACGAGTATACTATTTGACTTTGCGAGAGTATAAAATGTTCGGTTACATCCGAACTTAGCCCTTCCTTACTTGTTATTTGTTTATAATGTGTCCAATTGTATATATACAAATTTATTGTGAACAGGTCAAACCCCTTTAATGCTGGCTGCAAGCATGCTATGAGGAATCTTCTAAACAATCATTTAAGTGATGTACAAAATGTAGAGGCAGATAAAAACCTGGCGTTTTAAGGACCATGGGAGATTTAGGGTGATAATATTACTCTTAGTATATAAACGTTTCGAAATCTTTATAAACAATTCCAGCTGTTGCCCTTTTTTCAAAGATTATTTAAATTAAAATACCTTGAGTAAAGTTAGTAGTTGGAAGTAAATTATAATAAACGTTTTCACTATCGTCTAGTTCTTCTAACCGAAATGGACCGAACGGATTGTCAACCGAAATATAAAGGTTAAAACTTGGCTGCGTTCGAGATAGCAGCACTGTTGCAAATTTGTCAAAGTATCACGTTCTCTGGAATTCTGGCAACACTTGCAACAGCATCATGTTCTACTGTCATGTTTTGCACACAATTAATACAAATAATCGGCAACACTAAATATTTGTCTGCACATCAGCAGAGTATCAGCAAATATGCTGATATATAATATTAGGTCAAGTAAAAAGTTCGTTCGGTTTATCTAAGAGATGGCGTTGTCCATAGTACTAGTGTCGTATCATGTCATACTATACGGCGCTGAAAACGTGTTTATTCGCCTAAAAGTTTGTCTTTGACAGTTTTCGATTGATTTACTCAGTTCATTGTGAGCGCTCGTCAAAGATGGACACCAACAAAGAGAAAATTCGCTATATTTTAAAATTTTTCGATCAAAGCGAAAAGCAGCCAAACGGCCTGAAAACATTAATTTAGTTTATGGCCCGATACTGTAACGAACGTGTAGCACAAAAGTTATTTGCTAGGTTCCGTTTCGGTATTTCGATGTCAAAGATGCACCACGCGTCGGGAGCCTGTCGTCGAAAATTGCTAATAAATCATGGAAATAGTGGAAACAGACCGTCACGTGAGCACTTATTTAATTGCTGAGGAACTAAAGTAAACCAGAAACCGTTTGTAACCATTTGCATAACCTTGGATTCAAAAAGGAGCTCGATGTTTGGGTGTCACACAGCGAGAGTATAAAATGTTCGGTTACATCCGAACTTAGCCCTTCCTTACTTGTTATTTGTTTATAATGTGTCCAATTGTATATATACAAATTTGATTTTGTGAACAGGTCAAACGCCTTTAATGCTGGCTGCAAGCACTGCTATGAGGAATCTTCTAAACAATCATTTAAGTGATGTACAAAATGTAGAGGCAGATAAAAAACCCTGGCGTTTTAGAGGACCATGGGAGATTTTAGGTGAGTAATATTACTCTTAGTATATAAACGTTTCGAAATCTTTATAAACAAATTCCAGCTGTTGCCCTTTTTTCAAAGATTATTTAAATTAAAATATCCTTGAGTAAAGTTAGTAGTTGGAAGTAAATTATAATAAACGTTTTCACTATCGTCTAGTTCTTCTAACCGAAATGGACCGAACGGATTGTCAACCGAAATATAAAGGTTAAAAACTTGGCTGCGTTCGAGATAGCAGCACTGTTGCAAATTTGTCAAAGTATCACGTTCTCTGTGAATTCCTGGCAACACTTGCAACAGCATCATGTTCTACTGTCATGTTTTGCACACAATTAATACAAATAATCGGCAACACTAAATATTTGTCTGCACATCAGCAGAGTATCAGCAAATATGCTGATATATATATATTAGGTCAAGTAAAAAGTTCGTTCGGTTTTTATCTAAGAGATGGCGTTATTGTCCATAGTACTAGTGTCGTATCATGTCATACTATACGGCGCTGAAAACGTGTTTATTCGCGCTAAAAGTTTGTCTTTGACAGTTTTTCGATTGATTTACTCAGTTCATTGTGAGCGCTCGTCAAAGATGGACACCAACAAAGAGAAAATTCGCTATATTTTAAAATTTTTTTTCGATCAAAGCGAAAAAGCAGCCAAAGCGGCTGAAAACATTAATTTAGTTTATGGGCCCGATACTGTAAACGAACGTGTAGCACAAAAGTTATTTGCTAGGTTCCGTTCCGGTAATTTCGATGTCAAAGATGCACCACGCGTCGGGAGGCCTGTCGTCGAAAATTGCTATAAAATCATGGAAATAGTGGAAACAGACCGTCACGTGAGCACTTATTTAATTGCTGAGGAACTAAAGGTAAACCAGAAAACCGTTTGTAACCATTTGCATAACCTTGGATTCAAAAAGGAGCTCGATGTTTGGGTGTCACACGAACTAACGCAAAAAACATGATGGACCGAATTTCCATCTGCAAATCGCTGCAGAATCGCAACAAAATTGACCCGTTTCTGAAGCGGATTGTGACTGGCTCGGGGAAGCGGCCCAGATGGTGGCTAAGACCTGATTGACGGCCAGGAAGGTTTTGCTGTGTGTTTGGTGGGATTGGCAAGGAATCATCTACTACGAGCTGCTCCCCTATGGCCAGACGCTCAATTCGGCCCTCTACTGCCAACAACTAGACCGCTTGAAGGCAGCACTCATCCAGAATAGGCCATCTTTGATCAACAGAGGTCGAATTGTGTTCCATCAGGACAACGCCAGGCCACACACGTCTTTGGTGACTCGCCAGGAGCTCCTGGAGCTCGGATGGGAGGTTCTAATGCACCCACCTTATAGTCCGGACCTGGCACCAAGTGATTATCATCTTTTCCTGTCCATTGCGAACGCGCTTAATGGTGAGAAGTTGGCTTCAAGAGAGGCCTGTGAAAATTGGCTCTCCGAGTTTTTTGGCAATAGGGACGCAGTCTTCTACGAAAGGGGTATAATGAAGTTGGCAACAAGTTTACGAACAAAACGGCGCATATTTGACTTAAATCGGACAAATGTACACAAAGTTATCATCTTTTAAAAAATCAATAAAAAACCGAACGAACTTTTTACTTTAGCTAATATATATACTGCTGCAACTATTACATAACTCGAACTCACCCCTTTTTCTTGTTTTTCAGTTGTCTAAAAATATACTAACTTGGAAATTCTTTTGTTGAGTTCCAAAGTCTCACTCATGCCTACTTCCCTGCACTTTCTGTATGTTGTTACTTATGCCCATCCTGTGCAAGACAGTTGTTGGCCTAATGACAACCGATCTGCAGTCCTTTCGAGACCGTGTGAGTAAAAATCATGCGTGTTTTCCTTCGAGGCTCTTGCACATGAGTATTGCAATTATGCATGTCCTTAAGGAATTCTATTTCACCATGATCCGTCTATTCGCCCTTTCGGAAATTTCATGGTGTATCGTTTTTAGTGACTTATGAATTTCCTGTACTGGTTCGGTAGCCAGGCGGATAGCACTTTGGGCAATCTCATCAGCTATTTCGGTTTTCGCTTCCTTTGTGGCCTGGAGCTTAGTATATATGCAGCCGCTGTCCGACAGCCTCTACATCTACTGCTTCTAAGGACATTTTCTGAAATAATGCGATGTAAGTTTATTGCCTTAATTGCCGCCTGGCTATCGACATATATATTTATCCTTTTTATGTTGCAATAGATAGATAGATTCCGGCTCTCACTCCACTAACCATTTTTGATCCGTCCATATAGATGTTGTAAAGTTAGCTGGTGATTCGCATGCTCCTGTGGCATCCATCCTCTTTTCAGGTGACTCGAAACCTTCCTTCCCAAATTAAGCGTAAGGATATGTGGTCTATTTTACCCACCAACCTCCTGCATATGACCTATGCCCGAAGGTCTTTGTGGACAATTCACCAAACGCCGCCAATCTTGCAACTAATTTTACTGCAATGTCGATTGGTGGCAGGCTAGGTAATTTTCTAGTCAGCCCTTGAAGCGGATCTTAGCACTTCCGTTATGCAGAGAACAGCGAATCGCTTTATCCGCTTCAACGGTTTTCTGTATGAGATTTTGCTGACAGCGGTCTACCACACCAAAACGCCGTAAAGTAAGATTGGTTTGACTACCGCTGTTACATCAATGCATAAGGCCAGATCGTATGCCACATGTGGGCCCTCGCATCTTATTACATCCATATAGGGCACCAGTGGTCTTTTTCACTCTCGCCTTCACATTGAGTTTACACATCAGTTTGCTATCCAAAATTACTCCTAGGTACTTGTTATGTCCCTTAATTGTTAAATCAACCCCGTTGAGCCTCGGTGGTTTCCATGACGGTATTTTGTACCTCCTTGCAAAGGTTATCATATCCGTCTTATCGGCATTTACCTCTAAGTTGGTTGATATCGCCAATCGGTGTATGACACTTAGAGCGTTGTCCATCACGTTATTGATTATGTCCAGGTACTTCCTCGTCAATAGTATAGCTATGTCATCTGCATAGGGTATCAGTTTGGTGCTTTTCTTTCAATTTTTCAGATCCTCATAAGCTACAAGCGACCACAGGAGTGGTGACAGAACACCCCCAGAGGAGTTCCTGTATGTTATAATCTGAGCAATGACGCTTGCTTGCATTCCGCATTAATCGACTTGCAGCTCAGTAGAGCTTTTATCCATGCTATGATTGTGGGCTCTATCCAGGCTGCTTCGAGACTGTTTGATTGCGTTGTTGGAGACATTATTGAATGCTCCACTTATGTCAAGACAACCAGGGCATATTCCTTAGCTCTAGAGCTTCTTCTATATTTAGAATTAGCTTGAATAGAAGAAGCGATACATTTTTCTTTAAAAACCTAAAAATTATGCACTCACCTCTTTAACCAGTGTTGAAGTGGTTATTCTTGAAAGGCTGACCGCTCGGAAATCTTTCAACAACCTTAGTGGTCCAGGAACTGTTTTTTCAGACTTTATTATCGAAATTACTCTTCCAATGTTTCTTAAAAATATTTACCTGTTAGACTTAAGAGCCATAAGGGGTTAGGTGAAATCAAAAACAATTTATATAGCAATTATTTTTTATCAGTAAATTATTTAATTTTATAAAGTAAAAATATAGCATAGTTAAATAAGGATTCGACTTGACTTGACAGAAATTTTGAAAAGAAAATTATTTTAAAAGTAATAGCTGTTTGTGTTGATTCATTTCCAACCGAAGCTTCTTGAAGATTAATCTAAAATCAATCGGACAAAAAAATTGTTTTATTAATAGATAATCTAGTGCCAGATCAACTCCTTTTTTTAAAAGGGAAGTGGAAAAAGAAATTCAAGTATCTATATGTATTCTGAATGTAGATATGCATATACAGTGAATCAATTAAGTTTAGGTATAAAGACATTTTCTCTAATAAACCTCTAATTTCTTTATTTAAATTATTAATAAGTAAATTTTTTATTTGGTAATTCAAGTAGCGAACATATTTTAATGCATTTATTTCAAAATCAGTAACTTTTTTTTATAGACACAAAAAAATATAATAACAAAAACATCAAATCCATTAATTTCACGTCAAAAAAGTTTTGGTACAAAAACGAAAGTGGAATAAAAATTATTGATACAGAAAACATATGATAATTTTAATACTTTGTTGGTTCGCCTTTAGCTTTAATTATTGCTTGCGCCGATGCTTACGTTGATGCATGCTTTTTACTAGCACCTGAGTGTCAGACTTTGTAATTTTGCCCCATTAAATCTCTATAGCGGTTTTTAACGTGTCCTGAGACGAATTATTGTGTTTTCGAATTCTTTATTCTAACAAATCCCATATGTGCTCTATGGGATTAATGTCGGGTGATTGTGGTGGTGTTTGGAGTTGCTTGCAGTTATATAAAAGACATTCGCGGACTAGATACGAGGTATGTTTTGGGTCGTTATCTTGTTGAAAAAGAAATCGGCTGCTGTCGAGATCCAGTTTTTGCACGCTTGGACGCAAATTTTCCTTCAGAATGTTCAGATATATATATATTTGTCCGTTTTATCTGTAATAAACTTCAAATTCCCTACGCCAGATGCAGCCATACACCCCTAAACCATGACATTTCACCCACCATGTTTGACTGTAGGTATCAAGTTATTTTCTTGCATCTCTGTATTGGCACGCCTCCACACCTTTATTACTCCGTCCGACCCAAAAATGTTGAATTTTGATTCGTCGGTGAATACAACATTCTCCCAAAACGAATCTATCTTATCAAAATACTCTTTAGCAAATTTTATGCGTTTTTTATTATTTGCTTTTGATATGAATGGTTTCTCAGTTCGAGGATTTAAATTTTTTTTAAATTCAACGTTTGGATTATAAATCATAATCTTTACTGCTGAAATACGCGGATTTCGTTTACCTGCAACGATGGCATTGCGTTCTTCGTAGGGCGTCAAAGTTTTATGTCTGCCCGAAGTCTAAGTTTTATATATAGATCTCCGTTATTTGTATCAACTAATGCAGCAACTAATTACACTAAGCTTTAACACTTTTACGCTTTTACACTTGATTATGTATAGTTCTCTGTCCGGCTTACTCAAAATATTAAAAAAAATTAATCAAACGCAAAAAAATCGAAAATAACATGACACGCTGAATGAGGTGTACCTAAACTTTTTTGAATACTTTGTGGCTGCTTTTTTAATTCACAGCGCTTAAGTGGTGCCACAAGATAGACAACGGCACAGCAATCACTCAGTAACGATGAGCGCAATGCTGTTCTAAAAATGTACATAACGTTTTTTTTTAACTATTGTTGAAATTAGTTGTTTGAACGATTTTTAGTACGAATTGTTACTGTACCTAAACTTAATTGATTCACTGTACATATATCTACATTTAAAATTTTGATAAAAAATATGTAAAATTAGTATATTGGAAGAAGTATATATAGAAGTATATTTCTTACAGAAAACTTTACATTTTATGAAACAAACTTTTATCTACTTTACATAAGTTGAAAGCTACATACTTGTATAATAATGTCAGAATTATGTATTAAGTTAATAAAAAAAATTACTTTTTCTCTTTAACATAAAGTTTTTCTGGTATACAGTTCTATGAAACTGCATTATTTTTTTAAACTTAACAAATACGAATAATACATATGTAAATTGTTAATTGCAGATTCGTCAATATATGGTTATGATATATTCGGAGGAGCGCCGAATTTTACTTGTGATATGAGCAGAGCTCTTAGAAAAAGTTCAGTATCTAATTCGATAACGAACAAAAAACAAATAAATTCATTTGTAGAGGTGGGCAATAATTGTAAGACTAAAATGGAAAATTGTGCAGTAGTGCTTGACAATATTGATCGATTCAACTCCGTTCGATTGTACAATGACAACAAACCGGAAATATTAGTAGAGAATTCGGACAGTGAGGGTGAAATGTTTGAATTTGAAGAAGCTGATATTTTACTACCACCCTTATATTTACTCAAAGATGAAGGAACTGACAAATGGGTTTTATTGAGTGATTTGTGCAATTTACTAAAAGTCAAATCTAAAGATACACTTTTAAACAAGGTAATTTATAATCTGGTTAAATATCATTCAAATTCTGAAACATATAGTTTTATTTTTTTCGTGATTAGATATATCCACCATCTTCATCAGCATCTTCCGCCCACAAAAGTCTGATGAGGGAACTTAAGATGTCAGATTTCTTGGAAAGAGCAACGTGTTTGCAACTTCTATGCGCTGGGGAAAAAATAAACATTTGCTCTTCAAAGGTTGTTTTAATTAAATACAACGATAGCGTTCGAAATTTATTAGGTGTAAAAACAATATTGATGAAGTTTTAAAAAAGAATTAAATAAATTATGTATAAAGAACGTGATACCAAGGTGCTATACGGAAAAGTTATTGAAAGAAGTGTAGATAACCATCATAGTTATGTATATGTGTTGTAATATAAAAGGGAGATAATCAGTGATTATGAAGATTATAAAGATTGTGACGAAAACAAAAAAGCATATTATTGTAAATGTATTTGTAAGAAATAGGCTATAAAAATTATGTTTATGACCAACATTAATTATAAAAGTGCATAATATTTTCATAATATTAAAGAGGGTAGTTTTAATACAATGTGTATTCTAATTTTTATTATAAAAAATAACAGTTAATTAAACATACAAAGATACCAAACCTAGTTTATCTGTGTTCACAAAAATAACTAGACGTGAAATAAAAAGGTGGCGTTACTACCTATATATATATATATATTATTTAAATATAGAATTGAATCCGATAATTTTATAGGTTTTCCTTATAAGCTCATATTCCACTTTATATTTCAATAATTTTGTTTGTTTTGTTTTTAGAGTAAGTGTGGATAATATGGTACAGGCGGGTAATATAGTACACCTGTTTTTTTGTTTCAGTAACACTAATTATGACATCAGCTGTGAAATTTGAGAACAAAAAAATAAAGGCAGAGTTTTGTCGCAGTTGCTAAGCATGCGGAATTTTACATGTCGGATATTTTAGTGAAAGTTCGGCATAGTGAAATGGAAACTCTCGGCGCAGTGAAAAATTAGTGAAGGAAATTTTTATTCAAATCTATAAATAATCTACCACACTTCATTTACGAAAGGTTAGTTTGAAAGAAATTGATACTTTAACCTTTTTAGTGCCGAGCTAAATAGAGGTGCCTATGCGAGAAAAACTAGCCGAATTTTATAATTTTACAAGGATTCGGGAAAATATTTATAAAAACCAAACGAGGAACAATATTTACATGATTAAAAAAAACATATATTGTGGATGAAATACAGAACAAAATAATGACACTAGTTTTTTTTGTATTCAATTCAAATTTAAAAAAAAAAAAAAAGTATAAATGTTTATAAATAAAGTAAAAGTTGAGTTCTCTTATACAAAACATATTTGTATATACAAACAGTCATCTTTCCATCATAATTTTATATGGGCAAATTATTATGAAGTACAGCTTATCAGCTGTACTAGCAACCGAGCGCGACACATTACGCCATTGCGATCCCTGTGATCCCCGAATAAGGGATCTCAATTTAGAGATTCTGTTTCGGCAAACAAGACCCAAACGATGTGTTACTCGACGGCTGCACAAAATGTCAAAAGACCGCGCACAACTTACTTTTACCGATGGGGAGGTTCAGAGTGCCATTAACAAGGCCAAATCGTCCAAATCCATTGGTCCTGACGGAATAAGCATGCTGATGCTAAAACAGCTAGGACGACGGGAGTAAGTTATCTTACCAAGGTCCTCAACCTGTCGCTGACAACTCTTCAAATACCCGATGTATGGAAAGTCGGAAAAGTGGTCCCACTACTGAAACCTGCCAAAAAAGGGGAGTCTTATCGTCCGATAACTCTCCTTTCCCCAATAGTGACGACACTTGAGGCCTAGCTACTCCCGACATTCACTCTCTAGCGTTAGACTTGTTAAAAGCATTGACACAGTCAACCACACAACGCTACTTGAAGACATAGAACAATCCACGCTCCCTCCAGGGCTGAAGTGGTGGACTATGAACTACCTGAGCGGTTGGCATTTATCCGTACTGTTTTGAGGTCAAAACTTCAAACTTAGAAGAATTAAACAGGGGTTTCACAGGGTGGTTTTCTCTTCCCGCTACTGTTTAATTTCTATTGTTCGAAACTCCTCCAGCCATGACTGCATGATATTCGGGCAATGGCATCGATGGCATGTGCTCGAAAGTAAACGGCTATCTCTCTGACCTTTCTCGCTTTTTCTCTGCACGGAGCCTGACACTCTCCCCCAGCACAGACGATCTAAACATTTTAGTCGAGCTGGCAACTTACAAGGCAATCGGCCGGCCGATCTTAAACTACGCTGCACCAATACGGTCGCCTGGATGTAGTGCAACGCAGACGAAGAAGATTCAGACATGTCAAAACACTGCACTCCGGACTATCACGGGATGCCTCTTGATGTCCCCAATAGAACACCTGCACAGGTAGGCCCTTATGCTTCCTTGGAGTCAAACCACCACAGAAACGACCACGACATACTAAATATATGTCCTCCACCTCTTTGCATGCCCAACGAAGCCCACTCTTCCAATACCTCTTTCCCTATGCTCCGAACCCGCCGAAACAGCTATTTTCCTAGGCCTCCCGTTAGCTGACCTTGACGACAGCCAAACTGGAGCGAAATCTTCGTGCCATCTATCTGGATGGGTACAAATACTCATTTTTACAAATTGGTTCAGACATTTAGAGGTTCCAATTCAATTAGATTTAGATGGCCATTATAGCCAAACTCGCAATATAGAATTGTTGACCTAGTTCGTGAAAACGGTGTGGTTATTTTGTCATTGCCACCACATTCGACTCACAAAATGCAACCATTGAACGAAACTTTCATGGGTCCGCTGAAAGTGTATTACAGTGATCAAGTTAGACGCTCCACTCAAGAACAAGTCCGAAAAGTAACGCTGTATGGTTTTGTTGGACTGTTCACAAAAGCATATTTGAAAGTTCAAACCGGTGAAATAGCTATCAGTGGATTTAAAAATAATGGAATTTTTCCTTTGGATAGAAACATCTTCACAGAGCCGATTTTATTACAGGTGAAACGGACAAAGAGCAGAGTCCAAAACTGAAAATCACGTAAAAAGTTTGGAATCTTTTCGGTCAATATCTGATGATTCCATAGCCAGTACAAGCACTGGATTATCACTAAGAATTTTTAAAATGAATGTATCCAACAGCTTGCAATTTGAAAATATTCGAAACGCAGGTAAACGGAAATTTTTTTTTCCTGAACATTTTTTTGAAGTTTCAAATGATCCACGTATGAAACTTCATCGAATGCGGCTGCAAATAATATAACGCCATGCGGAGAAATCATCCGCTACCAAAAATACGGAGAACTATGACCAGTAATAGAGGTAGAAAATCCATGGCAACAGTTCTAACGACCGAACAAATAAAAATTGCAAAATAGTTTGGCAAAAATAGCCACTCGAAATTCCGCCAAGAATACGAAATCATTGAATTCTAAGACAGCACGTTTTGCTACAAAACTCAAGTAACGAATCAGATCGGATCGTCCCTTTTGAACAATCGTACTATATAATATTCAGTTTTATTTAGAATATCTGTTTTATTATTAAAATGCCAATAAAATTTACCGACTAAAATAATGATGTTGAAGTATGTACAATGAAAAATAGTTTACGAAAATTGAGACGCTTGATATCTTTTTAGTCTCCTATATTGTTGACTCTTATCCTTCAGTTGGATAGCTAGTGCGTTATCGTTGTTCTCTAATCGAGAGAGGTAACCACTACTAAATTCTTCTAAAGTTTCTTTTATATTGAAGGCTTGAATAACTTTAAAATTTGAAATAGCTGAGCTCCCCCAGATTTGAATTCGATACGACCAGATCGATCTGAGTATTGCTTTATACCTATATATAAAGTAGCTCATTCTTAAGATTGAGACGTGATCTTGACCTTAGGAGCCAGTACAACTGCGCAAACCTTAAGCTGAACTGGATTCTCTTAATTTTTACGTGGTCTCTTCAATAACGTCTCTTATCAATTGTAAGTCCCAGATCATATAAGGCCACTAAAAATGCAAGTTGGACTTAAGCAGCATGGGCAGTTTTTCCTTCAACTTATATAATAGTCCTAGGTGCTATTCAAACTTGGCAAATGTTTGACGGACATCAAGGAAAACTGTAGAACAGTATTTACAATGTCCCATGACATCAGTTATAAAGGGTTCTACTCTTTGGCATAGCTGAATTGTGCCATGAAGCTTTCTGAAGCCAAACTTGTGATCCGGGATGACTGGCTTCTCCTCCATCATTGGCAAAAGTCTGCGTAAAAATATACTTTCGAAATAATTTCCAGTAGGCTAAACGATCGATATAAATTGACCAGATGCCTAGGCTTACTAGGCTTCGGAATCAAAATTATCTCAGCACAATTCCATTGAGAAGAAAAATAGCAGAGTCTGACCATACCATGCGAGCGTTCGAGATGGCACCTCACTTAAGAGATTGGCGATCAAGATGAGTACGTTTCCTGGAAGCGCTTTAAAGGCTAGTGCATTATGTCTGTCATAACCTGGTGACTTTTTGTTTGCCAATGCTTTGATTTCCTCCTCTACTTTTACAGCATATATTTTTGCAATTGGTAGCTCCAACAGACAAGCAACGTCTAAAAATTTGCTGACTTCTGCAATTCTAGAATCGTCACTAAACTCGTTTGAAGTAACGGTGTTTTGGAGATGTGTGCAAACTTATCGGCTTTTTCTGCATTATTTCGGCACCTCTGATTTTGATAATTGGTGGGCAACTGGATATCGGCTTTTTCTTTTGTCTAGTCGCGTTCCAAAGATATTTTTCTGAATCTCCTTGTTTGGCAGCAACCAGATACGCCTCTAGTGACTTATTATGCAGTTTCCAGCGAACCTCCTTCAGCTCCTTTATAGCACGATACAGCTGTGTGTGTTCGTACGGATTTCTACTGGCTTTCCATGCATTGCGAAGAATTCTCTTCTTTGTGATTACTTCGTTGGACCAGAGATGCCTGTCCCGTTTGTGGCTGCTCTGTGTGGATGTAGCAACAGGCGCGCTCATGTGTGCAGATATTGTCTATGCTGCGGAAGTCCTGACCCAAAAAGTAGTGAGACTACTTTTCCGACTTTCCATACATCGGGTATTTGAAGAGTTGTCAGCGACAGGTTGAAGACATTGGTAAAATAACTTACTCCCGTCGAGCCTAGCTGTTTTAGCATCAGCATGCTCATTCCGTCAGGACCAATGGATTTGGACGATTTGGCCTTGTTAATGGCACTCTGAACCTCCCCATCGGTAAAAGTAAGTTGTGCGCGGTCTTTTGACATTTTGTGCAGCCGTCGAGTAACACATCGTTTGGGTCTTGTTTGCCGAAACAGAATCTCTAAATTGAGATCCCTTATTCGGATCCCTTTGTCCTCACAGATTTCGATAGAGCGGGACAAAATTAAAACTGAAGTGAATGAATTAAATGATCGTTTCCGCGAGCTACAATTAAATCGGCAAATTATATCAACAGCCGTTTTTAAAGTAAAACCTTCATCCTTCGAAAAGACGGCATCTCCAAATAATTGGAACGTTGAAGATAAAGTTGCTGCATTGTTCGTTGCATTAAAAGGGTCTGCAGCGGAGATATTACAAACCATTCCAAACTGTGAGTCGAGTAGTTGTGAAACGTTGAATAGGGTGAATTAGAAAGACG